CCCAAAACCCCAAAACCCCAAAACCCCAAAACCCCGCTTGGGCTATTTAAAATTGAATTAAGAGTTTTCGCCATTTTGCTGGATTCGTCTCTTCAAGCTGTTAATCTGACTACCAAGCTCTCTTAATTTAGGTAAATAAGTTCTAAATGGCATTATAATGGATTTTGAATCTTTTTGTTTGAATATAGCTTACTCTTTATCAGTAAATTGTTTGACTCCAATGCGATACATTTTTCTAAATTTTGTAATTCATTTTAGCTGGCATGGGAAAGTCTCCATGATAAAGTTTTGGTTCTCCAGGCAGATATTTCACCATTCGAAATTAGTGCAGTTTTTTAGTAGTTCTTTGTTCCTGTAGAGATAGACGATAGAGGAGCTACCTATAAAGATCGATGTCATAAAACTGTCTTTGCAGTCACTCTTCATCTTCTTGGGAGGCTCATTTTTGGGATGGAGTATATTTTTCGATTTCTGAAGGTTACAAAGCGAACATACCAACTTTCTTCATGATAAGCGCTTTAAGTTCGGATTTAAATTCTGAGTCCATCTCTTTCAAGATCTTTTGTTTCTGACTGAAGATTTTAAGTTCAACTTTATCAATTTTATTTGGTTGTCTTCTTTATCTCAAGTTGTTCAACAGTCAGCAGGATTTTTGAGATAGCAAATGATACTCAAAAGAAGATGGAAATCATGTAAATGTTATCTGATAAATACTCAACTATATAATTTTCAGAGGTTTAAAAGTACTCTCATATTTATACCAAAGAAGCACTCATGCCATCAGAGAGGCAAGGAGCATTCTTTGGAATAGTTTAAAGTATCTTTCATGCTTTTGAGACCATTTTAAGTTTTCTAAAATTGAGTAATGCCTTACTGTTGAGCTGATCAATCATTTTGTACCCCTGAGAAGCATATTCTTTTGGTTGATTATTTAGTAGTTTTGCTATCATATTTAGTAAAGAGTACAACTCCGGATAGTATTCCAATCATGAAAATGGACAGATAAAATACTGGGTCTCTTTGAATTGAAAGTAAATCATCAAAAAAGACTTCAGTAAAGCCTAACCCTGGTTCTATTTGAACTAGTTTTGTGGTCATTTTGGAAAATATTTCAATTATTTGTAAATCATAAGGGGTTTTGGGGTTTTGGGGTTTTGGGG